CCCATGCTGGCTGAGGAATTCTGGGAGTTGAAGTCCAGAAGCCATAATAGAGCCATAGTTCCCCATGCTGGCTGAGTAATTCTGGGTGTTGAAGTCCACAAGTCATAAAGGGCCCATAGTTCCTGAGGAATTCTGGGAGTTGAAGTCCACAGGTCATAAAAGGCCTATCATTCCCCCATGCTGACTGAGGAATTCTGGGAGTTGAAGTCCACAGGCCCTAAAAGATCCACAATTCACCATCCCTGACCTAAAATGTTGCTTTATTTATTTATTAAATGTATTTCGATTTACGACCGCAATTGAGCCCCACATTTCCGTTGCTCAGCGAAACACCTGTTAAGGGAATTTTGCCCTGTTTTACAACCTTCCTTGCCACAGTTGTAAAATGAACAATTGTTAAGCGAGGAACACATTTGTTAAGTGAATCCGGCTTCCCCATTGACTTTGCTTGTCAGAAGGTTGCAAAAAGATATCACGTGGCCCCAGGACACTGCGACCGTCATAAATATGAGTCAGTTGCCAAGCGCCTGGATTTTGATCACGTGACCACGGGGAGGCTGCAGCGGTCGTAAGTGTGAAAAACATTTATACGTCACTTTTTTTTCAGTGCCGTTGTAACTCTGAACGGACTCTAAATGAACTGTTTTAAATCAAGGTCTTCCTGGGAATGTAATAAATAAATAAGTCCAATTTAATAAATGTGATGGATGAAGAGAGAGAGAGAGACTGTAGGTAGGTAGGTAGATAATGATAGACACAGAAAGAAAGAGAGAGAGATGGATACCGTAGAGAGATAAATTAGAGAAATAGATACAGGTACATAGATACAGATAGATAGATAGATAGATATAGATAGATAGATAGATAGATAGATAGATAGATAGATAGATAGATAGATAGAGACAGATAGATAGAAAGTAAGAGTGGTAGATAGACACAAACACAGGTACGATAGATAGATAGATAGATAGATAGATAGATAGATAGATAGATAGATAGATAGATAGATAGAAATAGATACACACAGATGGATACGATGCAGGTGGGTAGGTAGGTAGATACAAATAGGTAGGTAGATAGATACAGATAGGTAGGCAGATAGTGATGGATAGAAAAAGAGATGGATGGATAGATAGATAGAAATAGATACACACACACACACACACACAGATGGATACGATAGGTGGGTAGGTAGGTAAGTAGATACAGATAGAGATAGGTAGGTAGGTAGATAGATAGTGATAGATGGATAGAAAAAGAGATGGATAGATAGATAAATAGAGATGGTAGATAAATGGATAGATAAATTGTTTTATTTGGTGTCTTCTTCTTCTCAGTTTCAGAATACTGAGCCCTTAGTTAGACCTTCAGCCTTTAAGCCAGTTGTTCCTAAAAACTTCCATTCCATGCAAAACCTGTGTCCACCGCAGAACAACGGCGTCGCCACCGAGAACCGCAAGACTTTAAACCACACGCACAGCAATAGTCCTGCCCCGGTCAAAAGCGGCCTGGAGAAGGCCAGCCTTAACAGGACTACCAACCCAGGAGTCGGCCTCTCCGATTCTGGCCGCAACTCTTTAACCAGCTTGCCCACCTACGGCACGGGCTACAGCCAGCACGTGGGCCCCATGAGCGCCTCCACCAGTCACATCAACCGTATCGGGACCACCTACGGCGAGAAGAACGTTGTGGGATACAACGGGATATCTACCTCAGATAGCGGCCGATCTTCCACCAAGAGCACCTCTTCCTTCAGCCGACTCAACCATCTCAACGAAACGATGCCTTTCCACTCGCCTTCCACGGACGACATCATCCAAGACTTGGAAAACCGGCTGTGGGAGAAGGAACAGGAGGTCCTCCAGATGAGGAGGAACCTGGACAAGAGCGAGGCGGCCATCTACCAAGTCTTCGAGGAAAAGCAAAAGATTTGGGAACGGGAGATGGACGAGCTGAGACAGAACTATGCCAACAAACTCCAGCAAGTCTCCAAGAAAACCCAGCGAGCTCAACAAGCGCTCCAGCTCCAGATCTTCAAGCTCCAGCAGGAGAAGAAGAAGCTCCAAGACGACGTGGCTCAACTCCTTCAACAACGAGAAGAGCTGGAGAAGAAATTTGTGGCTTTCAAAAAGGAACAGGCGGAGTTTCTTCCCAAGATTGAAGAGACCAAATGGGAGGTGAGAGTCAGCCAGGTTCAACACCGTACGAGGGACTCAACCAACGTTGTGAGTGGCCTCCTAGGGTGGGTAGTCCCCTACAGTAGTCTTCTCCTACTCCTTCCTTTGCCAGCTACAGGTAGTCCTCAACTTAACGACCATCCATTCGGTCACCCTGAGGCACCGTATGCTCCAAGTAACAACTGCGACAAGGGAGCCAGGATTGCACAGGTTGTGCAATGACCCCAATGGTGTATGACCCTAATTCTCTGGTCAACGGCGGCCCTAAGTTGAGGATTTGGAGAAAATTCAAATACACTTGTCACTTGAGAGCGCTATGCATGTATTGTCTCTACAGCAGGGTATTCTGACCTCAGCTTCCCCAAAAAACACTAGGCCAATTCTTTGTCTCGGCAAAACCCCTTTTATTAAACAAAGGTGAATTTCTTGCATTCACCTTCAGTCAAAGGCCTGGCCAACTGTCTTTCAGGGGTGTAATTAGGAGCACAGACCTTATCTAGCTTGGAGAGCTGCCAAGTAACTATTTCCAAACGCAGTGCTGACAAGGAAGGGCTCGGCAAAGAGTCTCTGAGATGCACAGGCAGATCTTCACACGGTTGCAACGAACGAATTGTTTCCTGCACAAGCCCCCTCCCCTTTTGCTCCTCTTTTAATCCCTCTGGGAGGGGCCATTCACTGTCCATCTGTGGCCTTACTGCCACGTCGACCCTTAGTTCGTAATTGTTCTTTTCTTTTGGCAGCTCTGTGCATGCGCAGGCTGGGAACCAGTTCTAGAAGCTTCCTCACCTCACTGCTGTCTGAGCCTGAATGCAGCTGACGACTGCCAGCCTCATCTCTGGCACAGAGCCCATGTCCGAGCCTTCCTCAGCCTCCAGGACTGGCCTGGATTCCTCCCCAGCCTCCTCACTGTCCGACTCTGCTGCCAGCTCTGCTAGCCGCCAGCAGGCCACAACACGGGGGTGCTTAGATCTGACCCGCGGGGCCACTTTGGAAACAGCAAAGCATTGTCCCGCGGTGCCTCTGTCAGCGAAAACAGAACTTGGGAGAGCCACATATGGCCTCCTCAGGCCCCGTTTTCAGCCACGACAGCTGCTCTGACCAAGGCTTCCTAGACTGTAATTACGCATATGTTTATTTTAAAAACAAGACTTATTTTATTGCAATGCTGGGAATTGTTTTTATTCCCAGTTGGTAATGAATCTCAAAACAGTCCCTCGAGATAAGCACTCACCTTTCTTCCCTGTGAAGTGCTGCCAATAACAGAAGTGTCCAATGAACTAGGGAAAAAAAAACAGCCGAAATACAAAGAGCTTCAAGAATGAGTCTGAACCGAACGAACGACTTTGCTTCCTGCAAAGGTTTCGTCACCTTTGCCTGTCCTTTATCCCTTATGGGAGGGGTCCCTTTAGTTTCAGTTGCTCTCGCCTTCTAGCAGCTCTGCGCATGGGCGCACTGGGAACAGGCTCCCCTGGGTCCTCTGCCTCGTTGCTGCCAGGCTCCGGAGGCAGCACCCCACTCCCAGATGGTCCTGGCCCCATCCCTGCATTGAATGCAGGGCCCTCATCCGAGTCCTCTCCAGACTCCCAGACTGGTCCCCGTTCTTCCCCACTGTCCGATTCCACAACAACACCTTCCTGCCGGTGAAAATGGAGAAAATGCTGTAGAAGGCTATCTCTCCTCATCCAAGAAGCTGAGGAAGCTTCTTGGACGAGAAGCAAAATGTCTTCAAAGAAAAACCAGAAAGTGCCTCTTGGGGGGGAGAAAAAAAACACCTTTGGGGCGGCCTACCAGGCGATTGTAGGACTCCCCAAGAGCTCAGTTTGTTTCTTGCACAGCTCTGAGACTGCATTTGGTCGTGCGCGGTAACCGGCTTTGTTGAAGAGGTTACCTGATGTGACTCTCTCTCTCTCTCTCTCTTCTAGGTGTGCCAAAAGGCAGGTGAGATCTCCCTGCTGAAGCAACAGCTGAAGGATTCCCAGGCTGACGTCTCCCAAAAGCTGAACGAGATTGTTGGGCTGCGTACCCAACTCAAGGAAGGCAAGAGCTTCCTCCGAGAGAAGGAAGAGCAGATCTTGACGCTGAAAGACTCCTACGGCACCAAAAGCGTCAGCCTAGACTTCTGCGAGAACGAGCTGCAGCTCAAGATGGCGGAGGTCCAGATGCTGCGGGAGAAGCTCAGCCAGTGCGAGCTGGAAGTCTCCGGCTTGAAGCAGACCTTGGCTCACCTGGGGGGACCCCCGAACCACGTCCCGTCGGAGCTCCCCGAGAAGCTGGCGCGGGACCCCTTGGCCTGCGAGAGCGACGAGGCCAAGATGAAACGGCAGAGCGAGGAGAGCCTTCACGCCCTGAAGAGGGAGGTGGAGAGGCTCCAGGCCGAGTTGAACGCCGAGCGCCAGTCGCGGCAGCAGCAGGTGCTGGACTTCGAGGAGGAACGTTGCACGTGGCAGGAGGAGAAGGAGAAAGTCATCAAGTACCAGAAGCAACTGCAGTTGAACTATGTAGAGATGTATCAGAAGAACCAACTCCTGGAGCACAAGCTGAACGAGATGGCCAACAAGGCCACCAGCCTCTCCCACGCGGAGGAGAAAAAAACGTGGACTCCATCCAGACTGGAAAGGATAGAGTCCACGGAAATCTAAGGGAAGAACCACAAGGCATTTTTTGAGTACAATTTTTTCTTTCTTTCTTTCTAATTATGGTGCCTGGAGATCTTCCCAAGTAGAATACCTGACGTAACCAGCAGCATAAATCTTTGCACTTGGCCCCTCAAAATACACTTTGGTGCTCTACAAATTAACTTTTTACGGGGTGGGGGTGAGGGGTGGGGAAAGCCACAGGTGTACTTTTGTGTTCCGGGGATGATTTTTGACATCAGGAGTTCTTGTGCGTTGTTGTGTTGGGCTTTGAGTTGACGCGGTTTCTGTTATGACTCCGTTAGACGATGCACTTCTCAAATTCTTCATATGGCGTGTTTAGCTCCGTGGGGTCCTGGTTGTTCTCTGAGCTTGGTTGTTTCCTTGCAGACGTTTCGTGACCCAACTAGGGAACATCAGTGCTTTGTAGGATAAACAGGCATGAGGAAAACTCCTACATGTGGACAGCTCAAACTATCGTTGGGAAAGTGTGATCATCCTAGACCAAGTTAAGCCCATAAATGCTAGAGAATTCCTTGAAGCTGGGCACTCAGACGAATCAGCCATCAACAGACACATAGGGATAAAGAACATTTACATGCCATTCAAAAGAGACAATCAAAAAGCCCAAAGGGAAACCAAAACACGCCCTCACCGGCAAACATCACCCAGATAAAGCAGAGATTAAAACCCAAGATTAATACCAGACAAACCATCAAGAAGCAAACAATGTACCCCAGTCAAGGAAGTAACAATTCGGACAAACAAACTAGCAATAAACGACAGCCTAATCAAGGAACTACCTAGAATACTTCCACTAAATACTAACTTGTATATAAACAGAGAGTAAACCCCACTCCTTTCTAGCATTGATGATGTTACCTAGCTGGGTCATAAAACGTCTGCAAGAAAACAGCCAAGCTCAGAGAGCACCAAGGAGCCCAAAGCTGCCTTCTTCCCTTCCCTGCATAACCCCACTCCTTCCTTCCTTCCTTCCTTCCTTCCTTCCTTCCTTCCTTCCTTCCTTCCTTCCTTCCTTCCTTCCTTCCTTCCTTCCCTCTTCTTTGCAAGCCCGCTCCCTTCCACCACTGATAACGTTACCAACTTGGGTCATGAAACATCTGCAAGGAAACAGCCAAGCTCAGACAGCCCCAAGGACTCCTCATTTCAACCCATGGCTACAGATATTCTCTTGAGCCTCTGAACTCCTGGCAGGTGGGATTATTCTCGCCCACTTCCTCCTTTGCCCTTCCCTCTCCCTCTCCCTCTGTGAAACCCTTAACTTCCATCACTCCGGGAGAAGGCGGTGTCTCCCAAAGAATACCACGTTTCTCTAAGAGAACCACCATCCCCAAGGTTCATTGAGAGGAACCCTACCTAGTTATTGAGACGTTTAAAAGTAGTCTTTGACTATAGGATACCTCAAAAGGCGTTTTTTTTTTAAAGCCTGCCGGAAATTAAAGGACATCATTTGAATCCTTTCAGAGCAATCTTAGGTTCGGAAGCAGCCCTGACCCCAACCATCAATGGATGGTGGTGACTGGGTCCATCTGGCACTGTCATATAATTGTGGGGTATGCTGAGGTCCTCTAGACCAAAGATTGGAGCTAGTGAGAAGTGTGGGAGTTCAGGAAGTATCTTAGTCTCCTCCTGGTTGGAGCTCTTGTACAATCCTCCCTCTCTCCCACGTCATGTTCCTGATTTGCTGTTGGCAAGGTCTTCATTGCAGGTGAAGGTTGCGGATCCAAAATTGGTGTTTTGGTGGGGAGGGCTGACGTCGCGACGATACGACGAGCGATTCTGGGGCTCCAGAACTGGCGTCGATACCGCCGCAGCTGGAAGGTCCATGAGAACCCAAACCGTCCCGTAGAGACGGTGGTGGTGGAGAGTGCAGCCTAATTCTAACCCTAACCCCTTACAGACGAGTGGCCTTTAAGATTCTCTACAGGTAGTCCTTGCCTTACGACCGCAGCTGAGCCCAACATTTCAGTTGCTAAGTAAGACAGTTTGTCAAGGGAGTTTTAACCCCCTTTTTATGACCTTTCTTGCCACAGAGTGTTAAAGTGAAGCGCTGCAGATGTTAAAATTGGTTAACACGGTCGTTAAGCGAATCTGGCTTTCCCCATTGACGTTGCTTGTCCTAAGGGATACCAAAGGGGAATCACCATGATCCCCGGGGACACCGTCACGGTCATAAATACGAACCAGTTGTCGAATGTCCAAACACTGAGATGGATCGTAAGTGTGAAAAAGTCAGAAGTCCTTTCCTCCACTTTGAACAATCACTAAATTAAACTCTTGGAAATTGAGGACCAGAGATGAAATGCTGCCGGTTCGGCCCAGTTCACCTGAACTAGTAATAAAAAAAAATAAGTGCTACTGGTTCAGACCAACCCGGTATTTCGGATGATCAGCTGGGGCAACAATCAGGTGTGCCGCAAGATTTAGATCAGCTAGAAAGTAGGAAATCATCAGAGTTCTTGCTTTCTAGCCAATCTAAATCACGCGGCACGGCTGATCCCGTTCTTCGCTGTTGTACTTCCCTCGGACGGCTTCAAAATTTTTCACCACCCAGGAGGCTTCCCTAACAGATAATAACAGATAATCAGAGTTGAAAGGGATCTTGTAGGTCATCTAGTCCAACCCCCCACTCATGCAGGAAACCCTACACCGTTTCTGACAAATGGGAGTCCAGTCTCTCCTTGAAAGCCTCAAGTGATGGCGCTCCCACAACTTCCAAAGGCAACTTCTGTTCCACTGATTAATTGTTCTCCCTGTCAGAAAGTTTCTCCTTATTTCCAGGTTGAATCTCTCCTTGGTCAGTTTCCATCCATTCTTCCTTGTCTGACCTTCGGGGGCTTTAGAAAATAGCTTGACCCCCTCCTCCTCTCTGGGGCAGCCCCTCAAATATTGGAAGACCGCTATCCTGTCTCCCCGGTCCTTCTCTTCCCTAGACTAGCCATTCCCAGTTCCTGCAACCGTTCGTTGTAGGTTTGAGTCTCCAGTCCCCTCATCATCCTGGTTGCTCTTCTCTGCCCTTTTTCTAGAGTCTCAACATCTTCCTTATAGTGTGGTGACCAGTAGGTCAAAAACAGGGTGCGGGGTATGTGTGTGTGTGTGTCCTGCAAAAGAAACTTTTTTTTTAAAACTACCCAGTCACATGACCACATAGTCATGTCCACCCAGTCACATGTCCACCTGACCACGCCCACAGAACCGGTAGTTACAAAAAAAATTTGAATTCCCACCGCTGTTGAGGACTACCTGTGCTTCGTTCCTGTTTTCAATTCGCCCACCAAGAACGGAACTGAACTACAGAAGGAAGAGAGGATGGGACGAGCGAGGAGAAAGAGGCTAAAATGGAAGAGAAGTTCTAGAATTCAGCTCCTGAAGTGGGACAAATTTTGGCCCCCGTTGAGAGCTGGTGGACAGATGTTCTCAAGAGCCAGGATTCCAATCTTGCTGATCGATAAGAAGATCCAGGTGTAAACTAGTTGTCAGGTAGACAACTTCGATGAGATACCCTGGTTAAGTTGGAATTAGAGAAGGTGACTTTCTAGAGAAAGCTAGCTGTCAGGATTCCGGCAATTCCCCCCATTTAAATCATGAGTCTCGAGCCAAACTTCCAAAACTGCAAAAGGATTTATTGGGAGTTAACGTGTCCGGCACTGCCTAGGTGTAGCCACGTCTGAGGCTCATCATCCATTGTCACCCTTGACCCTGGTTTTTCCCTCTGCACCCCTGGGTGTATCTTAATTCATATTCTCCAATGGGACACCCCCATAGCCCAGAGTCATCAATCGTGCTCTCCGGTTAGATATTTGTGTGGCAGAAACTTCAATCACCTAGTTACTATTTTTGAAAACATTTATGGAATGCACTTTCGGTTTCCAAGCTGCTGCACTGCTCCCCCCTCCCTTTCTGTTGGCACCCCTAAAAAGACCAGAGAAACATTTTATGAGTTTGACAGCTGGTTTTATCACGTTTTCTCTTATTTCTATACCGGTAGCCTTCAATTTATGACCACGATTGAGTCTAAAACTTCCATGGCTAAGCGAGGCCGCTGTTAAGTGAGCTTTGCCCTGTTTTAGGACCTTTGGCGCCACAGCTGTTCAGCAAATTGTGAGGCCGTTCCGCGAATCTGGCTTCCCCCACCTGACTTTTCTAGTCAGAAAACTGGCTGGGAAGGATGCAAATTCTGATCATACGACCGTGCCCGTTGCCAGGAGCCCAAATTTTGATCCTGTGCCCGCAGGGATGCTACGACATAAGTCGTAGGCATGAGAACCAGTCCTAAGTCAGTTTTTCCAAGTAACATTGCAAATTCGAACGGTCACTAAGCCGACGGTTGTAAGTCAAGGAGTACCTGTGATCACTCCCCTGCATCTAAAACCAGTTGGATTTGCTAGGACTTTAAAAAAAAGCTACGCTCAGACTTTTAGCTTTAAGGGGCAAGAAGGAAGTTTCTCTCTTTACCCCACAGAAAAATGATTTTTTAACCTACAACCCCCTGCAAAATTGCCATCTCTTGTTCCCAAGATGTTAAGTTCTGTGTGTATTTGTATCAACCAAGATTTCTCTTTCCTCTATTCCATTTCTGTTTTCTATTCTATTTTCTCTTCTCTTCCTCTCTTCCATTCCATTCCCATTTTCTATTGTATTTTCTATTTTCTCTTCTCTTATTCCATTCCATTTTTGTTTTCTACTATTTTCTATTCTCTCCTCTCTTCCATTCTATTCCATTTTTGTTTTCTATTGTTTTTTGTTTTTCTCTCTTCTCCCCTCCTCTTTCCTCTTCCTCCTCCCCTTTTCCACTTCTTCTCTTCTTCTTCCTCATTTCCTCTCCTTCCTCTTCCTCTCCTCTCTTCTTCCTCTCAATTCTCTTCTTTCCCTTATTCCTCTTCCCCCTTCTTTCTCTCTTCTTCCCTCATCTCCTCTGTTCTTCCTCTCTCTTCTCCTTTCCTCTTCCTCTTCTCTCCTTCTTTTTTTTCCTCTTCCTCCTCTCCTCTGTTTTCCTTTCCCTCCTTTTTCCTTTCCTTTATTTTTGTGTTGAGTGACTCAAAAGACTGTCAGGTCTTTACGTAAACTGACTTGTCTTGCCTGTGGGAAGACATTTATCAGATTTTTTTTTTAAAAAGGCACTTTTTTTTGTACCTCGCCTGGTAAGAGAAAACATACATATATATTATAAATCTATACATATGCTGTCTTAGTTTTTAGAGACGATCTGCCGTTCTTTAAATTGAGCACAGAACCTTCCATCCGAGACCAAGGCAAACCGATGGATAGGTTGCCTGTAAGTGGAAATGAATATAGATGGAAACGCAAAGAGAAGAATTTACTAATTAATGCTGCTGAAATTATACAGAAGCAAGTTACTTGGATGTAAATACTCTCTTGTATCTGTTTATGTGATGATTAAAGCAAAAAAGAAGTATATAAAGAGAGGGCGGGGGAAAAATATATATCTGTGAGCAGTAACTACTACGTTGTGCAGTAAGAGCAGAAAACTCCAGAACAAAGTTTTGGATTATCAAAGGACATCTTGCCAAATTCTCAAAATTTTGAGGTTCATACGGTACCAAAGTCATCCTGGATTATTCCAGCATTACAAGAAGACAAATTCTTTTCTGTTTAGGTTGTTTCCTCTCTCTGGGTTCATAATCTTGTTGGGCTTTGGTAGATTGAATCAGAATGGAGCTGGAAGGTACCTTGGAGGTCTTCTAGTCCAGCCCCCTTGCTCAGGCAGGAGACCGTATACCTGTGATGGCGAATCTATGGCACGCATCCCACAGGTGGCCCGCGGAGCCATCTGTGTGGGCGCGCGAGCCCCAGCCAAACTTACCTGCGCTACACATGCGTGTGCCTCCCAGCTGATTTTCAGCCTGTTTGAGGCCGTTTTCGCCCTCCTGGAGGTGCGAGC